TTTTAGACCTTTTTACTCACATGCCTATTGTAACTACATGTATAATGTATTTGTTAAATAATACTGAACTGTACAATGTTTTAGTTATATAGTATTTCTTACCAAATGTTTTAAATTTTTATTTATTCATTTACTATTTTTACTCTAAATTTTAATTCATATAGTAACAACACCTATCAATATCAAACAATGAATTTTGCAGATCTTTTTTCAGCACAGTATATTTAAGCCAGTATATTAATATCTAATTATACTTTGCTTTTTACAAAATATTAGAATAAAAGTGAAGTAACTGATCAATATAATCTTGTTCTTAGTTAACTAGAAAATTTATTCCCTTGCTTCTCATTAAGCATTTCAATAAAAACAAATATCAATCCTTAAGACTTAAATATTTTTAAGCAATTATCCACTGATACTAAGTAATTACCATGATATACAATTATAATTCTTAAATGTACAGTGTATTATAAAAATGGCATAAGTGACAGAAGGTCAGACGATCTATTAACTCATTCCAAGCCCTCAAACTATAAAAATTTAACCCTTTCCAATCCTTAAAGCAACCTTTCACATCCACAGATTGAAAGAAAAAACAAAACAAACAATCTAAACCATTTCACTACTTTTTACCACTTAACAGACTATCAATACTGCCTGAAAATCACATATGGATATGGAATTTTGAAGTTTATTACTTACTGTGATATTTTAGTTATATTTTCCAGCTTTTGACATCAGATATCAAAATAAATTAGTTGTTCAAATTTAAGAAACTTAAGACAGCATATGTAGGTTTTATTGTACTTCAGCAAAAAATAAGAATAAAAGTTTGTGTCTGTCCTTATAAGGCTAATTAATCAAACCAAATACATACATGCTTTTCTATAATAGAGAACAAGACTAAACAGAATCTCAAATGAGGTTGACAGTCTCATATAAAATAACTATTAATACTTTTTCAACTCAACATTTCTTCACCGAGATCCAAAATCAAGTTATCAATATAATGCAGTTCATACCCAATTGAAATATTCATGCTTTTTTTCAACAACTATACCTACAGGTATGTTCTTTTCACTCTTATGTGAAAGTAAATCGTATTCAAGTTTCTTGCTCCTAAATGGATTACTTTTCTCATGTTCAAACACATTTTATGTACAGTTGCACTCAACCATTATATGTTAAGATTCTTTTAAATGTAAATAGTACACGCATGTTTATATATGAACACTATAATATTCTTTTCAGTATCAGCTTTCACCTATGGCTTTAACAAATTTAACAACTTTTAAGCTTGTGTGTTACTTACATTACATGAATAACAAACAACAAATGTCTATAAACAAAATCCTGAAGACCATAAAAGTTCATCAAATCAGAAAGCTACTATTCTATCATAACTCTGTTTTTTATCATCATTTCAATTATCATAAACAAAAAAAATTGGAAGTGGATGAGATAAAATCACCTTCTTAGAGTCATGTTGAATGCTCTGTATCAAACTTCAAGTTTCCATAATAATTTTCCAAATGACACTTAACAATGCTGAATGTTCTAATAGTTGATTTCCTTTTTTCAGAGATAAAGCACATCAAGAATCTTCACTTTTAAAATTTTTTGTAAACTGTTATTAGTTTCTTGATTTATTTTTTGAAGTTTTAGGATAAATCTTCATTGTACCAGGAGCTTTAACCTTCTTAATCTAAATTTCATCCAATGAAATAACTATCAAGGCAAGCTGTCCCAACAAATCTCAGTACACTATTCACACACAAAAAGTTTTTATTATGAGCTATTTCCATATTTCCCAAGATTTTTTTTAGTTTTATCTTGCTGATCGTACACATACATGTACAGACATAAATTCTTTACTGTTAATGCCAGATTCTAATATATATGTTCTTTATTTACCTTTCACATGCTCTTCTAACTTCCTTGTAGCTTACTTCTACAGATATACAGATAACTACATTTACTGACCTACCATCAATAACTATTATATTAATGAAAACCAAACATTTTTCTTTCATCATCTTATTTCTTTACTTTTGAAATTTAAAATGGGTTTTTCAGTAGAGTCCTTTATTTGGTTGGCATAGATTTTCTCACACAAGTCACTTTACTAATCACTTATAAATTAAAAGATGCTGCTTTTTTGAAAATGAAAATTATAGTTAATATTTCTGTAGTTATTCAACAAATATATCACAACAAATTTTAAGAGACAACAAGGGGTCCCTTGGCTCATTGTGGCCATCCATTACACAAAAGTTTCCTATTCTATACTAACTGAACAATGAAATTATTAGGTACATTCTTCATGATCTAAACTGTTAGCACTATGAGAACACACCCACATATTTTCCCACAGTCAGAAAAATTCCTGAAATAGCACTTTTCAATTAATTAATTAGTTTATCTGGTACACATAGTTATGTCAGTGTCAAAGTATTTCCATTACTGGTGAAGGAAATCCATTCCACAAGCTAATAATCCTGGTGAAAAATAAAGCTAATCTTAACTATCTATACCTATCTTTCTTAAATCTTAAACTTTTGTTTTCTCATACATTGTCTTTAGAATTGAGCACACAAAAAAAAATCAGTGGACATTATCCTACTGATACCCTGGAAAACAGAGCCGGGCAATTTAATCACTTGCCTATGAGCAGCAATTAAATTGCTTAGTGTCACATAAATTAATCAAATAATCAAAATTAAGATAAAATGAATTGATACAACAATCAGTCATAATTCTGAGTATGTTGACTGTCATGAAAATAATAAATTAATTGGAATTAGGGTTTCCAACTATTACTATTTTTAATTTAAAACTATCCAAGAAATACTGCTCTCAAACGTGTTCAATTTGTCTTTGTTATGGCAAAGCTACTATGACTAATTTTGAAATAATCGCAAGAAGGAAGGAAACTGGCTGGCAGCACTGTCTACTAGCTTTATTATTATTTTTTATCTTTTTGAACTGCTAACTAGAAGGGAGGCAAGCATATCGAAGCATGTGCCTTCAACCTTCTTTTTTTTTCTTTGAAAACTGCTGACTAGAAGGAACACAATTTGTTGACTGCCCCTGCTGCCATTTTTTTATTTTTGTTTGTAAGTACCATGGTTTGAGAAACACTACTAATCGATTAATCTCATGTTATTGATTAATGGGGCTGTCGATTAATAAGTTACCAAATACCCTAATCACTCAATTCTACAGTAAATTGAACATAACCTGGGGACAATACAAGTACCATTTGGTCCTTCAAGGCTGTATTTTCACATACACTTTTGGGAAAATAAAAATTTAATCCCACCCTATATTTTCCACGAAATCACCAACTGCCTTCTTAAACTCTTGTAAAGTGCTGACCTCTACCACTGCCAATGGCAGCTTGTTCAATAAGTCAATCACCATGTTATAGAAATAAAACTTTTTCATATGTTAAACTTTTTTCTCTAAAATATATTAAAATACTCAAACAATCAACATTGTTCAGTACACACTTAAAAGTTTTATTGTAAGACCAATCAAGTCTTAAAAGGCACTCTACACATTTCAATGCTTATTCACATCATCCTCAGGAATGTGAAAAACAAATACTGTGCAACTATATAAATATTAAAAGCCATTGGTCATGTGACTATTTATTTTACATATTAAAAAGATCACATCATCTCTGTAATTTCTGATTTTCCAACCCTTCATCTTTATTTAAGATATAAATATTTTTAATAATAATATTAAAAATAAATGACCTACAAAAATGAAAGAAAAAGTTGGGGGTATCTGATTTTTGACCTTTAGAACCCTTGAGAAAACACTGTCTAATGAACTAAATTAGACCAAGTGCTCCTAAACAGCATTTTTTAGTGTTAAGTAAGAAGACAATCTGGTAAGAATTGTATAATTCATACCTCTACATTTACTAATATATTTTGTTTAATTCTTAAGTTGACAATCAACAAGCTTTCTGACAAGGTTTTAAATACTTTCCTTAACTTGATTGGCCATTTAGTTAATATTAAGATGAAATAATGATATATCATTCTTTTGGCTGCCACACTGAAAAAGCCAAGTTCAATTATTATAAGTCTTATTCTTATAGTTTTCATTCTGCTGTCCAGTGATGCTTTGGTTGTATAAACACTGTAGCTACTTAATGAAATGAGCTGTTTTAGCTTGAAAATATTCACATTTCAAAAATTAATGTTCTGCACACAAGTTTTTTTCTCCATATTTTTCATATCTTTTAGCTTTTCTTCTATTACTAATATAATTAATTATGATTTATATATGTGTGCAGGATATCATATTAGTTTTATTCACCTGTATTATTACTAGGATCACTCTACATTTATTTCAGTTTTGGCCTATTGCAATCATTTGTTGTTTGACCTTGAAAAGTTTAATTGGTGATTAGTACTACTCAAATTAGTTATTTCAATGAACTAATACTATTTTCAAATATAAATAATTCTTGGAGATACATCACGTACTAGTGTGTAATGTTTTTCCAGAAAAAATTAATTCTACAAACCACACGTATTCACTGAGGCGATGTTCACGTTAAAACGAATAACGAAATATATCATAATACTCAAAAGTCAAACATCACTTCTTCAAGTTCAACTTTCAAGAAGTTCTTGCCCTAACGATTATAAATATGATGATTCGTATGAACTACCGCCAACGTTAGCTTTCTCGTTCTGAACCTTTAACTAAGCCTAAGAAGATGGGAATCGTTTGGTTTTTCGTTTGCTGAATATATGAAAACATTTGATAACAGAAATTTATAGATACATACCAAATTATGCTCTGTTGTCTTAGATGCATGCATATTATATTACATTATATACAGTGGGACACTCGAAAAAAAATTTAAACTTGTATGTTAGGCTTAATATATGAATTCGCATCATTATCCGCCATTACGTGACTAATACTCTCGTAAAAAGAAAATTTGATTCCTACTGTCATGATTGAGAACGAGAGTATACGTTTAGATATGAGCTAGAGTTGGTGGAGGGTTGAAATTAACTAATGTTAGGCTAAAGTGCTTTGAATTCTAAAGCAAAAGTTTTTGTATTGCTTTTCTTGGATCAAGTGGATTATTGTGAGGAAGCGTAAGACCATCAACTTAATTAGTCCATTTTACTTATTGATTATTCGCATCATGTTTTGTCCTTCCTTTTTTATTTTTATATTCACTCTTTTGAATTTAAAATTCAAATGCGGTTGTTACTAGTTATGCTACTTCTTTAAATTATAATTTCTTAAACTTACTATTGCTAAGAAGTTCTAGCCAAGGAACAGTATCTTTTTTTTAGAAATTATAAATCAGGGAAGTTTGTGTGAAAATTCTATATAGACATATATCCTTTTTGGTAATGGTCCCTCAGGCTAGATATACTCAGTACTATGATTCATGCATAGTAGACTAGATGAGGGAGTGAATTATATAACGGGTTTCAACTTTCAAGGTTTAAAATGAAAGATTATCAGGGAAGTGCATAAACTGATAAAGTTGGAACTTAGACTTTTAGTTTTAGAGCAATAGATCGATAGTACTGATGGGACCTGTGTGATAGTTTTCAGGGTAAGGGGGAATTATATTAATTAACCTCCAATCAGTGCAAGCTGTCTACATAAATCGGAACTAAGATATTTATCTACTAATGAACATAGCCCAAACTATATTACTTATATTATAATGATTAGAATGCATTGCATCATCATTTGGGCATTCTCTTTGTTAATGATATTTTGGCCATAAACCCAATATCCACAAGGTTTGATCAGCCAATGAAGCTTAGGTTAGCTTTAAATCTATATACTTAGCTAAGAATGCACAATAATCATTATAATTATAAAAGTTATACTTGACTTGGCCAGCTAAGTAGATTTAGGTTAGTCATAATTCCATAAACTAACATTGTGAAGTAGTCTTTATAATAATAAAATAAAAATTAGTTATGACAAATATAATTGATACTGTTAATGAAAGTAATCTTAAAAAAAGAAGAGTGTATAGTTAACTTACTATTTTTAGTGGAAAATAAATAATACTGCTACGAAAATTGAAAGAAATACCCACTATCAGAACAGCATCTTCACTTCCAGATTATGTTCGAAACTCATTACTTTTGGTTATTCCATTACAAGATAACTAAGGGAGGTTACACCTCCAGTCATCATCTGCTCTGCTAATTGTAAAAATTTTACTGGCCACTCCTGTGCTGTAAATTAATGTTATACTAATGTTGAATGATCAAGAATAGCAGGCAACTAAAGTGAAAGTGGATTAGCTAACTTCTTTGAACAACCCACCATTTTTAAAGTTATATATCTGAAACTGGGCATATGCTGACATTTTTAGAAATTTGTTTGAACTTTAAAGGTTTCACTATACTCAATAGGAGTGTGATATATTTAGGCCAAACTGTGTTGTTATTTGAGCAAGTGTATAGATCTGCTTAATAACAGGATATTCGGTCTAGATAACAATTACAAAGTAATGCAAATCTCTGATAACTGAAACTGTAATGTTAAATGAAATAAGTAGACTGTACACAAAGTAATATTATGAAATACACAATCTTTATTAAAAAATACTAAGCATAAACAGTTATGTATACTTGTCTTATGGTACAATGGACTGTTGCTTTTACTGGATTTCTTTCAACTGCTTACTCTTCAAGATGTACGAGACTACCTGAATCCAACAGTCCTTATTTTGTAAGTACATTGTATTCACCAAGAAGAATTAGTGTTACCCACATACTTGTCATTTTCATTACAACATAGTTGAGGCTATAATCTCTAAATATCACCTGAATGACCATTGAAGAACACCACACTAAACATCCTTTCACAATGTGCTGTGTTGCAACAATTGCTCCCCTGTACATAAGAGGTATTATCCGCTTGAAAATAACAAAGGCAACTAGGATAAAATCAACTTAATGACTTTCTTGACTACATATTATGTGAAACCTGTACATCTACAGAATAAATGGTATATTCAGAATAAGTATTATAATGTTACAAGGAGATAAAAATACATAGTACATTCGTATACCACACTTTCCTATCTTTCTTAATTCAGGCTTATCTCTCAGATGTCACTTTTAACTTTAAAACCATTAGCCTTTAAACTAGCACCCTGGTTACGAAGTGTTTTAAATTTCACTTGCAGTGGAAACACCTACATACCACACAGACTTTGCAATCCTTAAACAAAGAAAATACAATGTCAAAAATATCCTGTTACCACTGATCAACCACATACACCCTAACATAACAGAGAAATATATCATTCCAAACTATACCTCCTCTCACACTACAGCTATTATTCAACTGCTGGGGTTTCTTTACCTTTGCCCATCTAAGTATTGGTCTGATTTTTTGTCACTTGCTCCAGTTTTTTATTTCACACTTAAATGCTCTTGTCGATATCTGTCTCATGACACTCTCCACCTACGTCAATGCACCCTCTATCTTGGTACTGTATATAAGCACCTCCTTCAGATAATATTGTCACTTTTTCTTGACAAAGCATTCACTAACGGGTTTCTCTGTAGTATGTCTGTTGGAAATACCTTGAGTTACTTTGTGTTACCTATTTGATTCTCATAACACTAAAAAAAATTTAAAACCCAGCACCTCTAGAAACTCGGCCCTCATATGTATGTGCCTTTTTTTATTTATTACTTATTTAACAACTGTCTACTTTTATGCTTTCTGTAGTAGTTAATATGCATCGTAGGTACAGTGCATGAGGGTAATGGATCACAAATATGGCATGTTCCTTTCTTTCTGCTTCCTGGTATCCAATTGAAAAACTGAAAGTTGTGTTCAATTCAGCTGAAGTGATGTAGCTAAATTGTTTACTAATAATTACTATTGTTTTTTTTATTATAGGTTTCATAATTTTTTTAGGCCAAACTTTTAGTAAAATATCTTTTAGTTTGTGGCCACAGGTCTTAAAACAATTTTTCATTTAGCAAGCTAATTTCTGCCATACATTCTCGGATTAATGTATCCAGCATTGAGGCAGATCAGATCACTTCTATCCCTCCTCTGATATCTAGCGTTGCTCACAAATCAAAGAGGGGGGGGGGTCACTTTCGGTTGAGACTGTCTGTGACCTTATCCAGAGCGTGATGGAGACGTACATTATGTCTGGTGGTCTTTCTACAGAAGGCTTTGAGGCTGCACTTGCAAGCAATTCTGGAGATAATTTAGAATTGCTTTTTCCAGCACTTTCCTTCACTCTGTCGGCTTCCAATGAGGCCAATTTATATTAGCTGCCTCTGGCTCCTTTCTTCCATTGGTACATTGTGTGTGTGATGTTTTGGGTCTCTCCCTGGTTGCTTATGAGTTTGTGCCTTCCTTGATGGCAGAAAGGTCTGAGGGCAAGTACTTAGTTCTCTCTCCTTTCCCTGATAATGCAATTCATTCAGGGAGGGTTACTGCTTAGTTGCATGAAGGAACAGCCTTGTCTGCCACATTTGTTAGAACAACATACTTTTATCTACCACCACCAGGCAGAGGCATATTTAGATTCACAGAGGATAGACCCACTCTTGGAAATGTGGGGCTCCAGAATGGAGTTTGTGTTTAACCTGAATCAATCATAGTTTTTTAGGATTTGTCTGGCCCTAACTATGGTGCTGTGATATTTATCATCTCTACACCTGTTTTTAGGAAACAACCACCACATCACTTTGATTATGAGTTGGGACCATTGTTAGCATCCTCCTTGGTTCGATTGTCAGCTTCTGCACTTTTCTTAGGCTCTTGGCTGGTATGTTGTTTGGATTTGTTGGATAGAGAGGAATTGTTGGAGGACGTTTGTCTACCTGCTGCCACCCTCCATGAGTTACATGAAGCTCTTTTCTCCCACCCTTGATTTTTGCAGGCATTCCAGAGTCTTTGGATTCGAAGTTGATGTCACTTGTCTTCATTTATTCCTGTCGTTGTTGCCTTCTCAACTTTCCTTGTCTCCTACAGGGGGTCATAGTTTGGCTCCTATTCAAGTGTCCCAACCCCTTGGTACATGGGTATCCAGATTCGATTCCACCCATATCCACAAGGTTCCTCTGTTCGGTCAGAATGCTGGCAGTGGTGGTAGGAAACTACCGTATGTCTTTGGGACCTGTGGTGGCTCAGCTTCACAAATTTTTGGTCATGTGGAAAATCTTTACCATGGATTTACAGATACTACAGGTTCTTGTATCAGAATTAGTCATTCAGTTCACATCTCCACTACTATTATCCCCCCAACCTGTAGTGTTTCCGACTCCCGCAGATCCTCAGATTTTGAAACTTCATTCCATGGCTATCAGAGATTTATTGGTCAAGGGGGCAGTGGAAAGAGTCATTCCAGTTCTTCCTGAGTTTTATTCCCATGTGTTTGTTGGAATAATGGAAAACGGTAATAATCGGAAACACCAATTTCAATTAGTTGATTATTTTCATGACATTAATTGATTAGTTAATGGGACATTAATCGATGTAGTTACTGCTCAAAGGTAATTGGTTAATGTATTAAATTATTCAGTTCTGTATACAAGTAGTGGTGATAGTGTTATACATAGACCACAGTGTGAGCAATTCTTTCTTTGTCATACAGAATCTGTGTTTAAAAGCCATGAGTATATGACTAGCATACATAATTACACATTCTACTGCATCTTGCAACTGCGATAACCCTGTCCCGATTCTGTTGTCACTGTGGTCTGTTTTTAACAGTAACTAGCTGTCTTCTTGTGGTTAGGCCAGCATTGAAGCATCCACATAGCAAGCCTTAGGGATCAGAATGCTTGGTCATCTTTCTTGCTCCATCCAGAGTGTATTTGGACATTTGTTAAAGCAGACAATGATGCTGCTATCTTGGAGAATTTATCCACAAATTATTGGTTATATGATGCAAAACCAAATAATTTGTGGTCTTCATGTTTGTTCATAGGTTGAGACTAAGCTTTTCCAGTGACAATCTAATCCATCTCTTCCTACAGTGTGACCAAGAAACTTCTCTTCAGTGCCTATGATTGAGTACTTCATGTTTGGGTTTCAAACCTTCTATATTTATCTGCTGGAACACTATTCTCAGCTGCATTCTTGAAAATGCAATCAAACATCAAACACTATCTTCATGTCCAGATATCTCTTTCATTGCAGTCCTTTCAGTGTAAAATTCATTAGCCATTAAGAACCTTCTAACAAGTCTAGACATTCATCTCTTTGTGGAAGAGAAAAGGCACCAACATGTGTTACAGCAATGAACCATTTAAAATCAACACAGAACCTTGGCATATCTTCCTCTTTGACAGTCATTACTGGAGACAATAAAGTGTTCTCTAAAGGTTTTATGACTCCATCCTTCAGTATCTGCTGTATTTAAACATTGGTGACATCCCTAGTAATGCAGGGAAGTGAGTATAGTGGTTGCTTTATCAGAAATATATTCCCTGTATCTATGTTGTGCTGATTCATAATTATTCAACCCAGTCACTCATCTTGTCCCCATAAATACATCAGCATATTCAACCAACAAGTCACTGAGTTGCTTTCACTTCATTGATTAAGATTATCAGCACAATCCTGAACCAACAATCTCAAATGTTTTGGTAGCCTCATACTTGCTTTTGGTCATGGTGCAATGGACACAGCCCTAGCTTTAGCACTAGTCTTGATTACTTCCATTTTGCTTATTGCATCTATAACCATTCCAGTGTGCAGTCTTGTATGACAGATGATTATCTTAGCTATTGCTGTCTTCTTTCTGGGCAGAAAACAATTCATGTCATGCATGGCTTCTATAACTGTGTTACATAGTATCAACACTCCAGACTTGGTCTGTAGGAAACCATGGAACACAACTTGTGTATGTGGAGGTTCTGCCATTTCTTCTGCTACATACACTTAATCACTCTGTTATTCTTGAACTCAGTCTAGTTGATGTTGGAAGACTCTTCCATGGAATATCAACTCACCCATTGCAAAGCCAAAATCCAAGATTAATTTCCTCAGTATATCTCTCCCAAGGATGCAACTACCAAATCCAAGGTTGGAGACAACTACCTTATTTCTCTGAGTGACATTTCTTAGAAAGAGCCATAGATTTACCTCTCCTCTAATGAATAGTCTATTGTTACAGGATAGCTAGTGTTGTGGGTCTGTTATATCAGGAAGATGTGTTGAAGGTGATGTTTTATGTTTTAGGCTTGAGGAAGACATTAATCAGTGTAATGCTATGGATAGAGAGATATCTACTTTTTTATTAAATCCTGTTGAAACATTGATCCAGGAACACTAGTTTGAACTGGAAACTCTGAGTTTAAGCCTTATTTGAAACACATTTCTTAGTACGATATTTTTATAACTTCTGGTTTGGATACTTGTTTTATGCAGGATCACATTAGACTTGCTGGATGATTCCATATTTGGGAAAACTGGTTTTGATATTCATAGGTGATGGGTCATGCACTTAAAGTAAACAAACAAATTATAGGAAGTGCACTTGTAGGAGAAATGCTGAGGATGAAAAGGATTTCAGTTTGATTGTTGTGATTTTGTGTTGAATGGAATGTTTATATAGAAGCTTTGATTTAAAACTATTCTTGCTCTATAAAAACTACATAGCTTTTATATATGGAAACATCTGTTAGCTGAGATCTTGCACAGATCTTAAAATATAACGTTGATAAACGGAAACATCGGCACATGTAGATATGTAGATCTTAAAACTGATTATATATAACATTTTAACCATATTTTGTCTGTTATTAGATCATGGAATTGGTGTTAACTCATGACAGTAAAGGATGAAACATTTCTTAACTTCTACTGAAGGTTTTGGCAGAACCAGTAGGGAGTAGCTGTTTACAAGGTAATTATTTTTAAAAGTATAAAAGTATTTCAATGTTAATAATTAAAAACTATGAAACACTTTATCAAGAATAAATAAGGCCATCTAAAACAAATATGATTGGTTTCATTCCCACATGTTCCTATTTTAACATCCTTGTCTCAGAAAAGTTTATTATTAATATTGTATATTCAGTTACTGTTAGTGCTTCAGTTGACCAATAAGCAAACTAAATTTCTTACAGGCAACATTATTTCATTCTTACACTTAGTACTGTATGTAATCCATCAATTTTTAAAATAACTTTTACAGATTGGAATGTACAGCCTTTATGTTCAGTATTTCTATGCCAAGTGTATGGCTAAGTATTAAAAAATAAGAGTGCCTCCCACCAACTCCAGTTTTTAGAAAAACATTGGATAAAATCCAATCATATTTTTTAGTTAACAATAAATTTTACTTGTTATAATGATACATAGTCACATTTACAAGTTAGAGTGGGTAATTCCAGTATATTCAATATACACGTGGCTTTTGTAATTTCTGTGTTGATTAGGCTTATGGATTAAAACTGACTTTGGTAAGGGAGAGATTAGTATCATTGTTCTATATATAGTTTTGTTGTTTTTGCACTTAGTACTGTTAGAACTAAAGTAAAGCTTCAGACTCGGAAACTTCAATGTTAAGAAGTTTATTCGTAAAAAAAACAATTACTATATAGTGCAAGTTCTGTAGTTTACAGGGTGATCCGAAAAGTCTGAAACCATAGGTGAATTACAGTTTTTCTTAATTTCAGCTAATCACTTACAAAATATATTAACATTATTTTAACTTTATTTGACTTTTTTAGATTACTTTAGGACTATATGGTTGACACTGCTTAAACTAAAATACTATATTATTATCGTGGAAGTCTCTTCTTTCATGTAAAAAAGTACTAAATAATTACTTGCAGTCTTATACAGTTGAATTTTCAAAAGTTAACTGGTATCATACCATCATTGTAAAAACATTACTTCAGTTAGTGTGGGGAAGTTAAATGTTGTTACTATCTGAATAGACTGTCTAGCTTTATTGTTATTAAAGCAGTCTGACTCTGTATCCAAATCCTGACTAATGTTAAGTCTGATGTTTAGTATGCTTGATGCCATTTAATTGACACATTTTACATCTTTCAGGAAATATTTCATTGCAAAGACAATTAAAGAAAACTACAGTCCTACATATTTTTGCCTGATCAAAAATAATATCCATTAGAAGTAAACAAATCTAATAAAACAAGGAAAATACAGAAAAATTAAACTAAAATGTTTGTGGTAAAATATAATCACAGGAATCATCTCTCCATGTCAAAGCAAAAATATAGTTTGAGATACATCATGAAAATTTTGGTAGTGTTACATTGCAAGCTTAAATATGATCATTGTTAGGGTTAAAGTAAGTACAGACTGTTTAAACATGATTAAAAGTTGTTATTGTTACATTTTTAAAGACATATAATGACATCAGAAAATATTTCATGCCATATTATAAGGAAGTTTTTATGCAGCAGATAATATTGACTTTCTCAAGGAGTGGAAAAAATTTAACTTCAGTTTTCACCTTAAAGTGAGGTGCAGTAGTACAGCGTGAAAAAGAAATGATTTTCTTTAGAGCAGTTTGCTTTTTACTACCTTAAAGATTTGTAACTCTAAATATTCCTTCCTTCTTCAAAACCTAAAACCTTAGGTGTGGTGAAACTGTCTAATGTGACCACAAGATTGTTAGCAAAATGATCATATTGAACCCATAATAGGACTAGCAAAAACATTTGAATCTCAAGAAAGCCCAGAAATAATATGAAGTAAACAAAAATTATAAAAATATGTTGTTTTTTTTGCCCTTTCAACTTTATTATTGTTTGGATAGGTCTTTAATAACTTCTTTATGGATGTTAATTTAAGGAATTGTTAGAACTATGAAATAGAAAAATTTACTTGTAATTATTGCAAAAACAATTTTTGTATAACTTTTTAAGTAATTAAGTTTTCTTACCTGTTATTCTATGTAGTTACATCTGGTAGTATTTTCATTACATTCTACACTACTAAGTTAGAAGTATGTTAAATATTTAAAGTAGTTATTGTACAAGTATTTATGAATGAGAGAAAAAGTGATTATCAAAAATAAATTTCTCACCTCTATCAATACAAATGACTTTCATTCCCTTGAAGGTGTAAATCACACAGTGACAGCTTTGATGGTACCACATCAAGTGATTTGATCATTTACTAATCAAACACAGCTTTGAAAAAAGCTATAAATAAAGTTTAAATATGATTGTATAGAGTAGGGATTAGACTATTATGCAATAGTTGAGTAAATGTATAGGTTAAGAATTTTTTGTATAGTTTCTGTAAACATTCCCTTTGTAAATTGTGAAATAATCTTGGTGTTAATTTATGTCTTTGAAAGCTACAGAAATTGTCTTCAATGAGAAGACATCAGATAACTTGAAATAAAGTAAGCTTATACAGTGTGGAGATAAGATGAATGGGTAACAAAGAAAACTATTAAAAGTTTAATGCAATAACAAATGTTTGTAGAATGTTTTGTCATCATCAGGTACAAGTAGTTTACCTAGACATAGAAATATATACATATACAATATGAAACAAAAATCACATAACTTGGAGACTGCTGAGGCTTAATGAAGGTATCTTGTTGATGTTTTATGTTTAACATTGTAGTGTGTTTATTTTTCTTAATAGGTATAATATGGTTTTATTGAGTTACAATGTTTGTAAACATGAGGTTTTTTTTATTATGTTCAGCAAATAACCTAACATCGTAATCAAATCAAATAAGTTTAGTTAAGTTTATTATATAGTGATTATGGTAGGCAACTGCAAAATATTCTGATGACTCAAATCTTTATTGAATATTATTTTTTATAATTATCCTATTTAAACAACATACACAAATAAATTGGTTAACTAGCTACTTAGTTATTTTTAAATGCAATTGTGATATGCTTTAAGTAGAAAGCATTATTATGCTTATTGGTTATGATAAAACATGTTTTAATTTTTTAATTATGAATTTACTGAATATTTTAGAAACAAACATAAAGCAAGCTGCTTGATGGTATTTAGTCGATATTAACAATTCATTTACCAAGTAGGAAATTTCAAGATTATCTATAAAAAATGTTTGTGTCAAAATATGTTGTAGAGAAAAAATTTATTTTTGCAAAAAACAACCTTCAGATGAGGTCCAGGTCTATCAAATGAAACAAAAGGTAATTTAATAGTTACACTTAAAAACCAAAACAAGCCAAAAGAATATTGGAAGACTAATGACATGTTAGATTAATGTAGTGGTTCAAAAAGGTATGAAACTAGCACACATTAAATTGTTGTTTTGTTTTTTGTGTTTTATTCAGTAATTGCAGGAGTCATGTACTATCTGATTAATTTAATGTAATCAATTATAGATATTTTAAATTAATCAATTAGCAAATACCTCTAATTGTCCAGTTGTGGTTAGAAGTATTAGGGAGAACAAATGGATGAGTCAAAGGCTCCAGTTTAAATTGAAGACTATATATAATGAGAATTACTGAAATTTCATTAGACTTGGAAAATGTTAATAACAGGAATTATTTTGAAGTTCCGTGTTATACTGTAATTTATTTACAATTGATAGATTTTTTGAAATGAGGATTTGGATGTTTCTAAATACAAGGAATGAACTGTGACCTGATAAAAAACAAAGTTACAAAATCATTTAGTGAAATTTATCATAAAAGAAAACCAATATGAGTTTACTAAAGAACAATCTTGCCTTACTAACCTTAAATTTTTCAAACATATTACTTCTTACTAAAAGGTCACAATTATTGATACATGTATGTTGTTATTACTCCCTGGATAAATTCTTCTCCCTTTCAGTAAAGATTTATTTATAGTAAATAGATGTTTTAACAGATTTTTATATTGCTATTATTTCAAGCTAACATGACTAGTGTAAATGCTAGTAACTCGCATCTGAGCCTTCTTGCATTGCAGGTATGGTATTGCTAATAAAATGCTCAAATAATTTGGCAAACTAACATAGATTTAGAAAATTATATTTACAAGTTAACTAATCTCAGATAGGGCTGTTATTTTTTTAATACCGATCAACTACTGCTGTAGAGTACCATGATGTGTGAGTCACTGATAGAGAATGGGTGTAAACAATTCTATTATGATTAATTTCAGATGCAGGTATTTTGAATAGTATTAAAGATATTTCACAATAAGGGTATTATTCAACACTTATTATGTCCACTGAATATTGTGTACCAGGTTGCAAACTTAGGAGGTCATTGTCTTGTTCTGATGAAAAACTTGGGGGAAAAAGTGGGCTGTTGCCACAAAATGGATAGAGAGAGATAGGAAGCATGGATACTTTCTCCACATTCTGTTATCTGTAGGAAGCACATCAGTGATGATGATTATGTTCAAACTAAGGTAAGCTCACTATAGCAATAATTGAAATCTTAGTTATAAACACTGATTTATTATTTTATCTTATTTGATAAAACTAAAAATAATGGTCCTTGTCAGCAGGCCTGTGTTTATTGTTATTAAAGCAGTCTGACTCTGTATCCAAATCCTGACTAATGTTAAATCTGTTGTTTAGTGTGCTTGATGCCATTTTATGTATTTAATTGACACATTTTATATCTTTCAGGAAATATTTCATTGCAAAGACAATTAAAGAAAACTACAGTCCTACATATTTTTACCTGATCAAAAATAATATCCATTAGAAGTAAACAAATTTAATAAAACAAGGAAAATACAGAAAAATTAAACTAAAATGTTTGTGGTAAAATATAATCACAGGAATCATCTCTCCATGTCAAAGCAAAAATATAGTTTGAGATACATCATGAAAATTTTGGTAGTGTTACATTGCAAGCTTAAATATGATCATTGTTAGGGTTAAAGTAAGTACAGACTGTTTAAACATGATTAAAAGTTGTTATTGTTACATTTTTTAAAGACATATAATGACATCAGAAAATATTTCATGTCATATTATAAGGAAGTTTTTATGCAGCAGATAATATTGACTTTCTCAAGGAGTGGAAAAAATTTAACTTCAGTTTTCACCTTAAAGTGAGGTGCAGTAGTACAGCATGAAAAAGAAATGATTTTCTTTAGAGCAGTTTGCTTTTTACTACCTTAAAGGATTTGTAACTCTAAATATTCCTTCCTTCTTCAAAACCTAAAACCTTAGGTGTGGTGAAACTGTCTAATGTGACCACAAGATTATTAGCAGAATGCTCATATTGAACCCATAATAGGACTAGCAAAAACATTTGAATCTTAAGAAAGCCCAGAAATAATATGAAGTTAACACTGGCAACAAAAATCATAAAAATATGTTTTTTTGCCCTTTCAACTTTATTATTCTTTGCATAGGTCTTTAATAACTTCTTTATGGGTGTTAATTTGAGGAAATTTAAGAACTGTCAAATGAAAAAAATTACTTGTAATTATTAAAAACAACTTTTATATAACTTTTTAAGTAATAAAGTTTTCTTACCTGTTATTCTATGTAGTTACATCTGGTAGCATTTTCATTACATTCTACACTACTAAGTTAGAAGTATGTTAAATATTCAAAGTAGTTATTGTACAAGTATTTAGGAATGAGGGAAAAGTCATTATCAAAAATAAATTTCTCACCTCTATCAATACAAATGACTTTCATTCCCTTGAAGGTGTAAATCACACAGTGACAGCTTTTCTCCCTGAAAAAACTGCCCATGAACTTAATAATAATACTTGTGTGCTGTGTATATACAAACATTGATTGTTTCATTTCTAAACAACTTATGGTATCAGCATTAATGAAATTATATCTAGCTGAAAATGGACACTCCACCTCTAATATGAGGTCATCATTCACAGTTCTGTCTGGTGATGTGCTAAACATTGGATAATCTCTATGAATAGAGAGTCCACACTCTGTGGTTTTAACTACCTGTTTTACCTCATATTGTTTTACTGCAATGGATGTGTATTGTTGACCATGCCTTAACTATGCACAGTTCAGGTCTCGTGGATCAAGAAGAGACCAGGCAATTACCAATTTGTCTTTCCTACTTGTTACTTTACAGATCATTTTAAAATGTTTTGTTAATATTATTTTTCTCACTCATAATTCTATGTCTTGTTTGTGGTATGAACTTTTGTTAAAATTTGAATTTGCTTAACTTCAGTAATGGTAATGTGGATGATATAGAAAAAATTCAAAGTAAAAATATAAAGAATTATATATTCAATTCAGACTTGGATGTTGTTTTTGTTAACATAGGAAACACAATCCTGTCTATCCCTAGACACTAACAACACAAGTCCTCACTGTAATCTTGAAAATATCAGTGTTAACAAATATACAAATTTCAAAGAGAATTTTTAGAACTTTTTATTTACTTTTTCTTACCACACAGATTTGTCAACCGCATTCAGTTACAAATGATCATGATCTAATATGAAGGTGAGTATTAGCAGGAAGGAACAATTGCATACCTTGCATGTGTATTTTGTCCTGGAAAAACAATTTTCATTCGTAATTTATTACATACAAAACATTTTAAAATAACTTTTTATGAATTTCAGAATTTTCATTTACTTCTATAATTTATAAAATAGTTTTAGGTTAATTTTATAGTTTGAATTCATTTTCACAATGTTATGCCTCATAATTTATATTTTCTAAAATTATATCCTTCTCTATTCCAATTTACTGGTTGTTTTACATCAAAGATAGGATGGGCATTATGATCATAAATCTTTGTTTATTCTCCTGCAGTTAACTTTCTCTTTTTTCTTCTTTTAATTACAATTCATTTTACACTTATTTATGATATGTTCTGTATCTCATTTTTTATGTTAGTATTCAAATGATTTTCACTATAATTTTAGGCTGCACACCTGCATTCATGTCAGGCATTGATATTATTTTACATTTTTGTGTTAATGTAAACAATATTATCCATGTGACCTTCTTCCATAACATATTGTGAGTCTAGGAGTGTAAGAAGTATGTTGTTTTTGAAGAAATTGTTGAAAAGAAACATTTGATAATATAAATATAACCTTGTTCTGGAGTATATGGGTGTTTTTCATCATACAGAATGTCTAAGTTTCTCCAGTCAGCACTTCATAGTATTACCTATCTACTTTTTGCAATGTTCAGTTTATATGTCTTATGCAAATATATCTGTTTAACAGAAACATTTGTATTGAATCAATATTAAATAAAATTACGTACTGAGTACTCAAATGAAAGTATCAAAACATGCAATTTCTTAGGTTGAAGAATATTTCAGATCAGCCTAAAATTATACTCACCTTTCTTTAGAGAGAGCTTTATACTTTTCATTGAATGATTTCTTAAACTGATAAAGATATTCTAGGGTCAAATATGACCCAATGATTAGCATGCTGGACTGTGAATCTTCATTTGTGTGCTGTTACTGCAAAAAAAGTTAGCGGTGGCTGTTGTTTACTAGCTGTATTTTTTTTCTAGTCTATCAGTTCAAAATGAAGAAAGACTATTTCGATAGCACTTTAGTAGCTTTTCATAAATATCTGATAACTAGAAGATATTTGCATTTTATTAATAGGTATAATCATGATCCTTTAATAAATCTTTGTTCACAGTCACATCAGGTAATTCCAAGACACATTTTTCTCTACTTGTTAAACAGTTTACTTGTTTCAATAATAAAATTATAATTGTAAAAACACAACTCAGTCCTATAATGAGGAGCTTTGGACTTACACAAGTATATGCAAAACAAAAAATGTAATAATGCTAGACATGTTCATTAATCACTTATATCAGTGTTTAATTTTTTGAAAAAGAGGTAGTAGAAAGGTACATTGGAGATAAACACAAAATCAGGAGCCTTTTTACCTTACAATACCTTCCATTGGTGCAGCAAGTTAGTGTCTTTCTGTTTTATTCCTCCAGTTTTTGACTTGGTGTCCATTGTGTTATAAATGTGTTGGAGCTAGGTCAAACATCATCAACGATGGACCAACAATCTTGATGAACAATAAGCTGGAGACAGTTTTCATGCACGGTGATACATGATTTTTGATTACAATAATGTTTATTGCAGAAATATCTCTTTCACATTGTGCTGTAGAAACTGCATCTGTACCCACATCAGAAAACATTGCTTTCATTGATTCAGGAATTTCTTTTCTACTTGCATCATTGAAAACATGAAAAGCTTGAATGGCAGAATATTTGTTGAGCTTGAGTCTCTGAAAATGATTTTAATTTTCTTCTTCTCTGTATATAACATCAGTATGATCAGGATACAGCCCTTTGAGTTCTCTAATGAGCTCTTGATATTTTTAACCACAAGTAATCTGGACTTAAGATTATTGGCTAGACTGTGGAAAAAACTGATTATTTGTAACAAGACACTTTTGGTATGACTGATGAAAAACACTAACCACAAAACTTCTTTTTTGTTGCATTTATTGTTATCATTGTGTATTTGCCTAGTTTGCTTCTCATTGCTTCAGACACATGAAACTTGAAGTGTGTTGGTTCTATGTGCATGGTTTCCTGTTTTGTAACTGCAGTTAAAGTTTAAACAACTCTTTTAGAGTATTGTATCTTATTCTCAAAATTGTTATGAAAACTACCATAGAAATTTGTTCCAAAAAACTTCGAAGTGTTGTACATTCCTGTATACCCCTCTCTAGGTTTTTTGGTGCAGATATAAAACGTTTGTGTAGAGCAGCATAGTTGGATCACATAGCTTTAATTGTTTGAAGGTTCAAAGTTATCAGTGGATATCTAGAATTCACTATTTTAAGAACTTCTTGTTCAAGTGATTCTGATGAGGTTCTTAATTCCCTTTGATCTGATCCTGTCTACCAGTATTTTATACTGATTTGTACCAGAAACCTCTCTCACCATGTCACCAACACTAAGTTCAATCCTGTGATTTAAATAATGCTACACAATAATGTTTGGGAACCAATCCAGCAGTAATATTGCCACTTTTTGCTTTCAATTGAACATAACAGCAGCACTATCAAGTCACAGACACAAGACATTCAGAAAGGAAGTTATTGCCCATCCCATGTCAGTTCAGAGTATATATAACAAGCTTCTGCAGTCTGGCTCACAGAGAAAAGAGTTAATAGGATCAGGCATTCCTGGTAGATGAAAACACACATACGTATATAAATATATCTACACACACACACAGTGAGATAGCAATTATTTCTAAAACATGTAGATTCAGCCACAATTTTGGGTTTCTTGTTGATAATTTTGTGTAAAAAGTTAGTTTGCATTTCCTATGCACATAACTCATTTTAAGGTAACATTTTTCCCATGTCCAGTCCATTGCATGCTTGGGTGTCAGCTTCCATTTCAAATTCATAGGATGAATGATTCAGCTTAGCCTCTTACTTGTGAGTATTGGTGACCATATTTACTAAGATTGTTTCAGTAGAAGGTTTTTACTTTCTCGGAAAGTGGATAATTTTGAGAATCTCAATGCAGAGATGTTTATTGTTGCAACTTGGTTGTCCCATTAGATGAAACATTTCATGTCATCTAACTTGTACTGAAATTAATTCCATTTTAATTTTCAATCCCTGTACGCCCTGTGGTTTTATATGTTTTGCAGCTCAACATATTACTTGTATGCATTAATCAAGGATTTTTCCCCATGAATTTAATCTTTTGATGCATATTCTAACAGAATAGAAAAAATTCTCTACCATAGTTTGTGATATCCACTTTACTAGTACTGAAAATATCATCAGATGGAAAGCTTAGTAATTTTCTTGTAATTAATGATGTTGTCTCTTTCATGGGTATATCATCATATTCTTTTTGAGTCTTTTTCACTGATGCTGCAGTCTCTGTGTAACATGGGTATGTTGTTGTTGTTCTTTTGATGTTCTTCAGATTGAACATTGAAAATACTTGTCAGCTTTATTTGTACCATCTCTTATACACCTAATCATATTTGTATTTGTACAAATCACACCTCACAGTTTTTAAACATTGGTAATACAATCACTACAAAGAACAAATGTTTTTTGTGGTCATAAAATTATCTTTCACAGATACCATCTGCTATTTATCAGTTTCATAATTACTAAAAATTATTAAAAGCTCACTAAATGTCTGAAAATTATACATTTATACGACATATTAAGTTGCAGAAACGTAGAATATAAAGCTATATCAAAAAATACAACTGTTTAATCACAAACAATTTTATGTTTGACAAAGATGAAATTTTATTCCTGTTTAGCACCATAAGCAAACTTGAGTATACTATATATTTTTCTTCAAAGAAACATTCGTGTCTTTGATATATCTTGTATACACCTATATTTATTTTAAAAGGGGATTATAGAACTCAAAGTGATAGGTAAGACTCGATGTAATAATTACAATAAACTAATAATTAAAGATTGCTGTGCGAGTGTAAGGAATGTTTCTCGTCTTTTTCTTAGAAATTTTCGCCTTCACCATAACAACACTTGACGGATTAACTTTAACACTGAGAGTATCTTCAGGATTCAAGTGCACTGGAGATCTCCACCAGCGAAAGAGATCCTGAACATCATAGCCCTCACTGTAATTTAGGCCAATTCCACTCATGGTCGTATTGACTTCAACGGCACTACCCATATCTCGACGATTGAAGAAAACAACAGCATATGAATAGTAACTGTCTTTTGTTGGTGTAACAGGCCGAGTCCAGATTTCAATATTCTGTTGCTATAATTAGATAAGTGTAATATTTATAATAATGAGCCTGAGATACAAGTAATACATAAGTTTGAGAAAATAACAAGGATTTAATAGCAGAATAAAACAACAAAACGTCATCTCGAACTAAAGTTACAGCACTTTCTGGCCATTATCACAAATTAAGCTCCTTAAAAATTCACCAACTTTTGATGTTCGTTGTCAAAGGTGAATTTTCAATGTGATTTATGAAGTTTAACTTTTTTCAATCAAGTGAAGATAACATAATGAAATAGAGTAGTGAAGGTTGATAGACTGATTCAAGCTTTTGTCTATCTTGATGTACTGGATGGAGCTCTTGTTTATTTAGTGTAATGGATGAGTTTTGTGTATAGTTTTATAAAGGATGAAGCTGTATCTATCTAGTGTAATGGATGGAATGTGTCCACCTGAGTCATGGATGGATGTCATGTCTTCTGGTGTAATGCATGAGATTTGTGTACAGCTTTATAGTGGATGTAGCTTGAGGTTACTTGGAGTAATAGAATAAGCTGTGTTACTTGCCGGGTAGGATCGAGTTTTTTGTCCACTTGGTGTAATGGATAGAGTTCTTGTGCATTTGATGTATTGAATAAAGTTCTTGTCTAATTGGTGTAATGGATAAAGTTCTCGTCTTATTTGTGTAATGGATGTTGTTCGTGGCTAGGTTACGAGCTTGTAATATACACACTTACGTTATATACAAAGTAATGAAGGTTATAATCTATATTTCATCCTTTGGACGAAAAGTATCTTATTCAGAGGCGTCGCTAGGCGCTGGAACACGGGTCCCATGCCTCGATTCTGTTTGACAGTGCTTCGAACCGTCAGTTGGTGTCTTTATAAATCAGAATAGAAAACCGTGATCGATATTATACTGAAACGCCCAAAATTCCTGCGCCTATGGACCCGAGCCCCGAATCTTTTAAGCACCTAGCGACGTCTCTGATCTTATTGCAATATTCGTAAACTCAAAAGAAAAAAACAGCAATTTTATCTTGTTAACATCCTACAATATACTAGGCAGCTTTTCTTCAACAATTACGTTTCAGAGATTTAGTTTTTCATTAATATTAACTGAATAATACATGCTAAAGCTGCTTTAACTGATTAGAGCTTATAACAATACTAATATATTTTTTTTCTGTTGATATAATTTTATGTTTTCTGTGAACTTTACTTAAGCAATTAAGGAAACAAACAGCCGTAACTTAAATATGTTATATTCTACGTGGATTTCTGTTCATATGTGCACCAAGAACTATTTATTTTTTCTTACATTGTAAATTCTCCTTCCCATAAGGCCAAGTGGATCTTGATTCACACCAATTATGTGCTTGTTCGTCAGAATTATTTTGAATTTTGGTTCAAGAGCTCTTAGGTCATTCGACATCAGAAGGGGAGCTGCAAAAATTGCCCACAGCGCCATCTGGGCCTTCGCTTGGTGAAAACTTAGTCCAAAGTTACCGATGATTAGCTAAAAAATAATAATTAAAATATCGTTTTATTAAAAACTGAACTACGTAATATTTTCATTCACGTAGCAAATTTAATAAATATTTCGATAAAAGGAAATCACTTATGATATTATCAGAAAAATACCACTTGAACGCGTGAACAATTAATTCTATCCCACAACAAATTATCAGATGAATTGATAGAAACTTACTTTTCTAAACAAAACAATTCGGGTTTTTAAATTTATTGGAAATGGTCATTATTTGGTAATCATGTAGTGGTATTCAACAGGCAGCCAAATGTTCCCATAAAACTCGCAGATTCAGGAAACGTTTTGTAGACAAAAGCAAACAATTGCGACTTTTACTGGCTCTTGGGGTGAAGAAGAAACTTTCTAGATATTTCCACATGGGATGAAGAAAACAATGATAATTTACATCGCAATTTAAAGTCAGACAAGGATCCAAGTTTGCTATCCCACCATCCATGGATTATCTACGTAACCGATTATTCTGTACGACATTTAGTGGAGAGAATCTATAACTCATACTAATTTTTACAAGTATTTTTGTCACCCTTTCAGGTGGACTTTTTCTCCACTACTCCTAGGAGTGGACACAAACACAGGGCAAAACTGTGAGATAGCTGCTGCCGTATTTAACCTTTTCCTATATATTAATAAAGTTCTCTTGGCAATAACTTGTCGACTATTAATTTACCAATAACAAGTATTATTAACCTTACTAACTTATAGTTTCAAAAATATCTGGTGATAACATTTCTGGCTACTAAATTACCAAATAAAAAGTATCATTAACCATTATGAAAACTTAGTTACTACAGATAAGTGGCAGTAACATTTATGGCTATTAAGTTGCTATATAAAAATTATCATTAACCATTTTGACAAATTAATTACTACAGAACCTGTAACAGAGACTTTTTTGGTTACCCAATCACCACAGAACAAGTCTCGCTAACCTTTGGGTGTTCAGTCACTACTACACTGATATGAATAATTCAGATACGTCTCTATTGCTTCAATTTACATAGGATGTTGGCAGTTCTTATTAATGATTGGTTACAATGAATCAACACATGCTTTATCAGGGGACTTTTACGATCTTCTCATAATGGGTTGGGTACATCCCTAAATTATTATTGGTTACATCTTACTGTCAATTTCTGCAAGACAGACTCAAAATCACTTTGACCTTCAACTTAGTCTACTGTTACAATAATCAAATCGTTTGGCTCTTGGATGACACCTGTGATGGATTTATTATCATATATTTATTTTAGTTTGTTTAGATTAAGTTTATATTTAGAAATATGCATAGCTTATAGTGTTAAATATGTATTGCGAAATTCCCGCCTATTCTCTAAAGTTGTAGAAGATTCTCGAGTGTAAGAATCAACAATATACGTGTGTACGTAAACGATAGTTTTAGCGCCAGTATTGTTACGCAAAGCTGAAAATTCGAGAAAGCCTCCACACGCCTATAAATATAACTAACACGACGCACCAAAAAAAAAAAGAGCATCTATTATTAGTTTGCTATAGTCAGTGTGCTATAAACTTCGGAAGCTATAACTGTAATTGTTATAACGCTTATCAATCGTAAAACTTCAGATATTTGATCAGGAGCATTTACAAAGTTCGAACTTTACAAATCATTTAACTTCAGTGGATCCTCATTGGACATTAGTATTTTTACGAAAACATTACCTAAAGTCACCGGTGGAAAACTCGGCGTGTGTGGTTGGTGAACAACGAAGGACAAAACTAGCTAGCTCTCCGTTAGGCGACTTGTACCTACATCAACTCGTAATTAACTCGCTCATCGTGAACCCTCGATAAGATATTCAGGAAGTTCCGGACTAGAAAGAAGACTTTATATTGCTTGTAAGTTTGTAATTTATTTATATAAATC